CTTTTGAAAACAAATTTTTATATTTTGCTCAATACTGTTGTAGTTTATTGCCTGTGTTCATATTTGAAGAAAATGCTAGATTTGTTAGAAGTTAGTGAAAATAAAATATCTTTTTTCTTTACATTCACAGATTGCATGGGGGTGTGGTTAAGAACCTTCATGCTAAAGTGCATATGTATAGTTTTTGTGCATAGGTTTATATAAAATATGTACATACTACATGTATATGTGTGTATATGTGTGTGTGTATCTCATATGTTAGGTCTTATAGAGTTATATACCTCAACTGTGTCAGATTCCAGCAAAAGTAACTTTTTAGTCTTGTAACTTTAGTGTTGAAATTATTTATTGAATAAAATTTAGTAATCCTTGATGTACAAAAGTCTCTATGAAGACTATTTAAGGTTCTTTTCTGAAACTTGAATACTTATACTACCATCTTTTATATAAGAACTTACACAAGCCAAGTGTGGTGGCACATGCCTATGATCCCAGAACTCTTGGGAGGCTGAGGCAGAAGGATCACAAGCTGTAGCCCAGCCTGGAGAATTTAGTGACTTAGCAACCTTTCTCAAAAAAAGAAATAAGAGCAAGGGATATAGGTCAGTGAGAAGGTCCTGGGTTTTATCCCCAGTACCACAAAAAAAAAAAGGTATTTCCTTCCTTAAACAGTTTTTTCTTATCCTTGTGTACCACATTGCTTGATTATAGAAATGACTTTGAAATGAATTACTTTACTTTTACAAACATTAATCTTATACTATTATCTTTGCTAGGATCTGTTGATGATGGAGCAAGTGAAAGACTTCGCTGCTAATGTGTACGAAGCTTTTAGTACCCCTCAGCAACTGGAGAAATGATTTTTTTTCCTTCATGAAAAACTACAGTGGGATTCATTTACTTTTTTGAGTTTTTTTTTTTTTGTACCGGGGATCGAACTCGGAACCTTGCACTTGTGAGGCAGGCAACAACACCACTGAGCTAAATCCCCGGCCTGGATTCATTTACTTAAAAAAAAAAACATGGAATAAGTCAACTACACCTCCAATGGCAATTTGTTACCAAAATACTGAATAAAAATATATTCTTAATTCAAGTCTTCATTTCATAATGAAATCGATTGATTTGGCATCTTAATGTATTTTTTAAAATGCATCAACAGAACACTTTTGTGGGCATATCTAAATATACACACAGTGCAAATATCAGAATTGTTTATAGTTTGCTACTCCATGGATATTTGATCCAAGCCAACCTAAAACTACTGTAGACACTTCTTTATGAAATGGATGTGTGCTGCATGAAATGCAGTGGACATTGACAGTAATACAGGGGAAAACCCTGTTTGGGAAATAGGGTCCACGATGTGTGAAGTTTAATCATGGAGTTCCCTGGACTCGTAATCAGGAGTAAATTGGACTTTTCTTGTGTCACCCTTCAAAGGAATAAATTACTTGTCTCAACTATACCTCAAAGGAGGACTTTTCTCATGGAAATTATTGAACTTTAACAACTGTGATCAGCTGTTTTACCTTGCTTTTTGTTTTTCACTTTGCTTTTGCTTTGTGGCATTTTCTGAGCTCTGTTCGCCAGCCTAGGAAGTTATGTAATGATTTACAGGTGGAGTTGGGTCGCTGCTGTTTTACTCACAGCCATTAATTACTGTGCTGGTTGGGGTGGACTTAAACCTGGTTGGCTTTGGAATTGGGAGAGCACGTTTATAGCCGTCCAGGTAGGTCTTGGAGCCACCGTCTTGCAATGAGTCTGGCCCCTCACTGTTCTGCTCTGCGATCCTCCCCTGCGCTGTGTCGGGGCTGCCAAGAACTCGGCAGCTTTGCCCGCTTCACCCACCACCGTGGTGACCGCCTTGGGTGCCGGCAGACGGTGGACTGAACCGTGAGCAAATTAACCTCTCTGCCTTTAAATTGTGGTGTTGGGTGTTGTGCCTAGCAATGAGAAAGCTAATACAGTTACATAATTGAATTCACTTGTATGTAAATAATTTTAATAACTTTATATTGATTTTGAGTACAATGAATATCTATTGCAATAAACTATTTTAATAAAATTTGCTTTTGTTGCGTGACTACTTTTAAGCCATTAATTTATTTGTTCCATAGAACATGTGGATATTTTAGAAGAGAGATCATACTGGTATTTAAGTTTCATTTTAACTAGTAATATAATTAGTACTTTTATTTATTTAGGAAAAGTAAACGGCATTACCTTTTGAAAAATGATTGTCTCTAGTAAACCAACAGTTCTGCACTTAAAAAGGTACTTAGAGCAGAAATAAATGAATCGTATCATTTGTATATTAGATATATATTCAGCAGATTTTCTTTCACATCATTTTTGGCCCTTCAACATAACATCTAAATAGTAGAAGATAGAAAATGAATTGTGAAGTCTCTGCCATGGCCTGGTTAGGCCCAGATATGACTACTGGAGTCATTATCTACAATGTTAAAAGGCAGGTGTAAGAATTAAAGACAGTAAATGCTCCTTTTCAAAATTTGACAGAATGGAATGATACTGTTTCTACTAGGGTAAAAGAAAAAATTTGCATTTTGGAAACCTAGTGAACAGGACATGCTTCTCTTCCAACAAATATTTACCCAGGATTTCATCCAGAAACATTTTGAAACAGGTATGGCCTCATAAGAAAATTTGATTATCTAAAAGTAATCACCTAAAACCATCTGCATTCTTCAGAGTTGAGGCCATGGAGGAGGTAGCTGGATAAAATCATGTGTATGTTAAAGTTACCCCTTATGTCTTGGGCATTAGACATTACTGCTTTGCCTTTTAATTGTCCTGGAGCCTTCCTGTCAGAGACAATTTAACGAGTGATTTCAATGATTTTAAGTTTTGTGTGTGTGTGTGCTTAAAATCTTAACCTAAAATGTAAATATTCTTTATTGGCTAGTGATTTCTCATAGGACTCAGGCTTCTTCTAACTTTTTCCAGGATGTGTCCACTAAACTGGGTCATTGGTGGCCTAGAGGTTAGCACAGCTGCCTGCCCCTGTGGGACTGCTGGAAGCTGATCTGTAATTGTCTTTCTTGTACAAATAACATGAATTTCCTTTCATGGGAGTGAACCAGAAATTCAGAATTCTTGTACATTTTTATTATATCTCCCCATCTTTTAGCACTATTTTGCTCACAATAGCTTAATTTTTTTAACCTTTAAATTGTTAAATTGGGTTAGCTTTCCATCACTGTGACAAAACACCTGAGAAAAGCAGCTTACGCAGGAAAGATTTACTTTGGTGCAGTTTCAGAGATTTCAATACATGGTCAGTGGCTTTGTTCTTTCTGGGCCAGTGGTAAGGCAGAAACATCAAGGCAGAGCACCTCAGGGCTGCCGGAAAACCAAGAGAAAAAGCCAGGAAGGAAGGAACAGGAGCAGTCCCCAAGGGCTCAGCCACTCCCTTCCCCTGAACCCCACCTCCTGCCTATCACCTTCCAGTTTTGCCATCGAATTATTAACCCATCAACGGATTAATCCATCAATGAAGTTAGATCACTGGAGCCTAGAACTTGAGACCAGCCCAGGCAACATAGTGAGAAGCTGTCTCAAAAAATTTCTTTTAAACTTTGATAGGTGCAAGAACTTCAACAATGAAGCCGGGCATGGTGTCGCATGCCTGGAATCCCAGCACTCCCAGCACTTGGAAGGCTGAGGCAGGAGGATCGCTGTGAGTTTGAGACCAGCCTGGGCTACATAGTGAGTTCCAGGTCAGTCTCAACTACATAGTGAGACCCTGTCTCAAAAAAACAAAACAAAACAAAACAAAACAAAAAAGGAACTTCAACAATGAGTAATTTTTTTTTAAAGTTTTCAAGCTTAGCATGATTTTAGTAAACAATATAATTGTGTTTAATTTCACTCTGATTTTTTTTTTAAACAACCAGATGTCTGTATTTGATTAATGTGACAAATGGAGGCTGTAGTGCTTAAAGATACTGTAGAGGCACAGCGAAGCTCAACAGCTAGGCCACACACCGAGAGATCTGACAGGAGATTTTATTAGGGAAGGCAGGGAGAGAGGAGAGAGAGGAACAAAGAGAGGAAGGTCCTTTTATTGGTTTGGGACTGAGCTATTGCTTATTTATGAGGACTGGGCTACCTTTAACCTATCACAGGCCAGGTTGCCCTTTATGGGTTCGGTCCTGCAGAAACAGGTCTAACTTCTGACCGCTGTGGCCTTGGGGGGAGGGAAACTAAAGATAAGAGCCTGAGGTCTGTAAGAGCCAAGAAGCGCCAGGAAAATGCAGCCTGTGATGGTGGCATTAGGTCCCTCACAGACACAATTGTATTATGCCTCTTTTGTTGAGGGGATTGAGTTTTTTAATTGGTTTTCCTTACTTATATCAACGTCAGTATTATTCATGTTTCATTCTAGAATTGAATAATTTCCTAATTTTCAACGACGTTTTCAACTTCAATTTCCTTGACAGCAAAAGCGAAGAGCAATTTATCAATTGAAGTTGAACCTCAAATCAGCCCATCTTCAAAAAAGCCGTATCTCCACCCCACCCCCTAAAAACCCCACAATTGTAAAAGTGGTGATCTGAGGTGATTTTATCCGAATCTATCTTTCTAAATTAAATATTACTTTTTAAATAAATTAATTGTATCCCATTTCCCCCCTCAGGCCCTCTCCCCTCCCTTTGTACAAAAGCTTTATTTCCATTCTTCTCCTATTTTCACTTTTTTCTTGTCGCTTCCTTTCCCCCTCCCTCCTCCCTTGTTCCCCTTCCCATGTGAACACTTTCTTCCCATTTCCCAACATCCATTACTTTTTGAGTATATCTATATATTTCAAAATATGCAGTGACCATATATTAGTTTTAGAAATAAGAGGAAAAAGACAAGGTATATTGGAAATCTATCTAATCCGAAATGTATTGTACACCAACCTAAATTGTAAACCAGGGCTGCCAAAACAAAACCACAGCCTCGATTAGGTAAACAACAGAAATTTATTTTTGCACAGTTCTGGAGACCAGCAGTTCCAGATCAGGGTGTCACCAGATTTGGATTCCTCTGATGCCTCTCTCCTTGGCCTGGCACATGGTCACCTTCCTGATATATCTTTTTACAGGACTTCTCTCTCCCTCTTTCCTTGTTAAGGATACCTGTTCTACTGGATTACAGCCTCACCCTTCTGACCCCATTTAGCCTTAATTGCATCTTTAAAGGCTGTTTCCAAATACAGCCTCATAGGGGTTAGGGCTTCAATATAAGGATCTAGGTGTGGGGGCAGAATTCGATTGATAGCACCCATAGTTCTTATCTAAGATAAACCAAAAACACCTCCACCTCTGACTCACACATGAAAAAAAAATCAGTTTGGAGAGACTTCAATGGCAAAGTACACTGGAAAATTAACATGGTAACATTAAATAGGAAAACTAAGGAAATAGGAAAGAATTTTCCTAAGTAATTTCTTGATCTTTATTGATCAGATTTACATTGGTGTTCTCTGTAGAGTACAATTATAGAAACCTGCCACTTACAGGTTCCGAGGTAACTGCAGCAAGGGGCCTCTCAGCTGCATATTAGATAGTGTTCCTTAGTTTGAGAGCCCAGCCCCACCTACTGGGCATCTGGTGAATGCTGAGCTGTGGCAATTGCACCATCAATCCAGTTGGCTTCAAAGAAGTCCAGGAAAGTGGCTGTCCATGTCCCAACAGTTTTACCTGAAATTAGAAATATAAATACAAATGTCTCTAAATGCATTGAGTCACCAACTTTGTATAGGAAGCATTTCTCAGAAAAGCACCATACACAGAAAATCCCTTTATGTTTATGATTCACAAGCTGTTTAAATTCTTGATCCAATCGAGTGGATACATTCATCTTGCTGCTCTACCACTTTTAAGAGGGAAATAAATGTGTGGATACTGGGGAAGAATTGTAAAGGTAGACAAGAGTGTTAGAATAGGGAAAATGCCAAAGAAAGGACCAGGGATAGAAAATGATTGAAACCATGGATATGTTTAGTGTATTGTTTAATTTCCATGTGTTTGTATAATTTCTGTGATTTCTTCAGCCATTGATTTCTAGTTACTTTGCACTGTGATCTGATAATATATTCTATATGACAACCAATCTGACCAACTAAAGCCTGCCCGCTTGTTTTACAGAATGTTTGGAGAAAAGCTCCCTGCTCTTAGCCACTGTTCCTCCCCACATTTTCCAGTAACCTCTACTAATCAACAATACATAAATTTTATCCATTATTGCTATGCTTTATACCCTCAGTTGTGACTATACCAAGTGAATTCAAATAAGTAGTTCTCTATGTATTTCAGAAATATTTTGAAGCATAAAACTTTGTTATCAAGTTGATCAATACAAAGCAATCCCCCCCCAAAAAAAGCTGGGTGTGGTGGTGCATGCCTGTAATTCCAGCACTCAGGAGGCTGAGACAGGAGGATCACTGTGAGTTTAAGACCAGCCTGGGCTACATAGTGAGTTCCAGGTCAGTCTCAACTACATAGTGAGAACCTGTCTCAAAAAAACAAAACAAAACAAAAAAGCAAAACCCATGAACTTTTACTGATATCCATGGGTGCAAAAGAGAACACAGATAAGATTAAAAGATAACCAGTGTCATATCCAGGCTTCGAAGCTGTAATTAAACATTAGATCAGAACTTCATCTTCTTTCTGCCTGATCAACCACACACATACATTAGAAATGAAATACGGAAAGGCGACACAAGAAAAGCCTCCAAGAGTACCATCAGGTTCTTAAAGAACAAGCTATAAAATACACCAAAGTGACCTCAATGCCAGACCTGGTAATTGTAACAGATTAAAATATGGGGTGTTGACATTATTTATTCTGGTATCTTCTGGGGCAGTGTGTTGGGGAGTTATAGTTGTACAAAAAAATCACCTTGGTTGCATGCAATGAACAAGAACAATGTACAGAAACTAAGAAGAATATCTATTTTACACTGCTATGTATGGAGGTAATGTATTTTTTAAGAAAAATTTTCTTTGATAAGTTTCAAAAAGTTTTGACCAAAAATTTGCCATTGACAAAAACCACCTTGAAGTTACTCTTCTGGATAAGAGGTACACATATAAGGCTCCCACTGACATTAAAGGGAATTACGTTCTCATTCAGTCCTTTTAGTCAGCAATTTGAAGAATAAAGATAAATCTCCCTCTTACCTCGGTTTCTCCTGGAATAGCATTAGGTTGCACCAGAACCAGCTGTCCTGAAATGGGCCATTTAAAGAAAATGGCATAGACTAATTTTTCCTTGGGTTTAGATGTGTACCTGGTTAAAAGAATAAGAACATAGAAACAAGTCATTATATCCCATCCTTATTTATGGGTCAAATTTGGGATTATTTTCAGCAATACTTCTATGTGGTAAATATTTATCAATTAATAAATAAAATAAAAGAGAAGGAAAAATAGCCCGCAGTAGTATAAAAAGCACTTCTCTTTTCCATTCCTGTGATACTAAAATGAAGGTCTTAGGAGAAAAGATTTTCTTCGGCTGGGATTTCTCTTCAGACTGCACTCACGGAGCTGACAGAGGAGGGCAGGAGTGAGCTGCCAGGCTAGGGCACAAGAGCTAGAGGGCTTTCTACCTGCAGGCTCCAAGTTTCTCCTGTTAACAGCCCTACTGCGCTCCTTGTCAAAGATACAGAACAAAACAAAACCAGAGTTCTTGTTCATGGGCTGAGACTAGAATGAGAAAAACAATCCCACAAATAACACAAAAGTATTTGTTTTCATTATGTGAAAGCAGGTATACTTTCATATACACTCTGAAGTAAAAGAAACTGAAAAATATAACAAAGGCTTCTGTTTAGATTGGATCATCAAAAAGATTCCTAAGCAAGAAAATGACACTTGATCTGAGGCTCACAGGATGAATCCAAACAAAGGGAAACAGTAAAGAGAGTATGCGCTGCAGAAATCCACTCATTTGTCCACTCAAGTTTTCGGCAGTATTTACGGAGACCCTAAAACACCAGGCACTCTCCAGGCTAGAGGTACAGCAATGAACAAAGTTCTCGTTCTGCAGAGCCTGGCACCTGTGAGAGAAGCTGGGATGAGGGAGCGAATGCACTCCGACGATCAAAACTGGGAGAGAGCTGGAGTCAGGAGAGACAGCTGCGCAGGGCAGGCTGGGGTGGAGCCACAGCCAGAGAGAGGAGTGCTCAGCGGAATCCTCAGGGAGGCCGCTGAGGAGGCAGCACAGAGACCGGAAAAACAGGCCAAGCGAGCGGGCATAGAAAGTCTCCCAGGCAGGGGATGACAGAGTACAAGGCCCCAGGGTGAGATTGTGCCCAGCCAGAGACACAACAGCAAGCTGGGTAGGTGAGGGGAGGAGGGCAGAGGTGGCCAGGTCAGAGGATCAGATTACACAAGACCTGCAAGGCTCTGTAAGACAGGCTTTTGCTCTTTTTTTTTTTTTTAATAATTTTTATTTTGTTTTATCCTCTCCCTCCTCCCCCCTCCTCCCCTCCCTATATACAAAAGGTTTGTTTCCACTTTTTTCTTCTGTTCTACCTTTCTTTTTCTTGTCCCTTCCTTTCTCCCACCCTCCACCCTTGTTCCCCTTCCCCATGTGATACTTTCTTCCCATTTCCCAACACCCTTTAACATTTCAGTCTTTATTTCCACTTCCGGTTTCCCACACCAATGCGGTATTTAAACACGTGTGTCCAAAGACACAGCTCTTTCACGAACCGGAAGCCACCACAGGAATCTGACAATGGGAGTGGCATTATTTAAAGTTTTAGTCTGATTGTTCTGTGGAGAATAAAGGGGCAAGGGTAAGAATAGAGATCAGTCAAGAAGCTACTGAAATAATCCAGCGTCGAGACAAGGGAGACCAAAAAGGATGGGAGAAGATGAGAACCGCTGCAAAGCGGGTATGAAGTGAGTCGGGGGAGGAGGGCAGAGCCGGCCCGGTCAGGGATCCGATGACACAGGCCCTAGTTCTCTCGCTGAGATAATGATGGTGGCATTGCCAGGCATGGTGCCATTGGCCCAGGGTCCCAGCACTGGACAACTGAGGCAGAGGACTCAAGTTCAGCCCAGTCGGGGCAACTTAGCGACTTAGTGAGATCCTGTCTGAAAGAAAGAGAATGGATGGATGGATGAGGGGCTGAGGATGTAGCTCAGCGCAAAGGGGCGCTGCATTAATCCCCAGCACCCCAAAAGGAGAAAGACAAAAGATGGTATCTGCTGATGCATTAGTATGGACGGAAGAGAGATGGGAGTTGAGAAGAAAAAGGAAGGGAAGTTAAGGCTCAATGGTTTCTGGCCTGACAACCACATAAAAGGATGAAGCTACTGGTAATTGAGATGACCGTGGGTTTACAGCAAAAACTTAAAATCAGGACTCAGTTTTGGACAGATGGGTTGAAGACGTTCACATGTTCAAGGGGAAATTGTGAGTAGGAAATTAAATATGGGAGGTTAAAAAGAGGCCTCACTGGAAGACATGTGGAAAGGTCATCTATACAACACTTAAAGCCTGGAAAGTGGACAAGATCACCCAGGAACTGAGATACACTCAGAAAATTAGAAGCCCAAGGACTAAGCCTCAGGCATTTCAACATTTATAGCTTGGGGAAATCAGGTGGAACCAGCAAAGGAGACTAAGAAGGAACAGCCAAGATGTGTGATGAAAACCAGGCGAGAGAGGGATCAACTGAGAATTAGCTGCCAATAAATTCAGAAAATAAGCTTAGCGCTGGATAGGCAAGGTAGAGGCTACTGCAGGCTTTCACAAGAGCAGTTCTGTGGAGTGTGGGAAGCCCAGCCAGAGGGGATTCGGGAGGAGGACTGCAGCAAGACGTTGGAGACACCAAGCAAGACCATTTACTCCAGATGGTTCACTAAAAGAAAAGGAAGGGATGAGAGGGCAGCTAGACACATCAGCAGAGCAGAAAGAGTACTTTTGTAAGTTGAAAGAAATAACATGTTTGTGTGGTGATAGGAAAGAATCTAATTCAGCAGAGAACAGAAAATGAGTGGAAAAGGAGATTTGCTGCAACAATGCCTGCATGGATGATTAGGGGTGACAGCCAGAAAACAAGGCTTGGCCTCAAAGCTGAAGCGAGATAATTTGGCACCGTGTTCGACTGCTCCAGCCACCTCAGCAACATGGACTCACCAGCACTCGTCCTTTTGTGACAAGGCTGCTTTAATCCACACAGTGCCCTTATGTGGTAGCATATGTCAGAGTTCCCTCTTCTCCACACTGAATGTGTACACACCTGTGTATACACACACACATCACCGTTTGCTTATTCATTCAGCTGTTAATGGACTCTTGCGCTGCTTCCTCATTTCAACTATGGTGGACATAGTTCTGCTATGAGCATAGTGGAATTACTGGATCATACGGAAATTCCAGTTTTAATTGTTGGGGGAACTGCCATACTATTTTCCACAGCAACTTTACCATTCTGCATTCCCACCAACAGTACACGAGGTACAAGCTATCCAGACCCTCACTAACACTACTTTCTTTTCTTTTTTCCTTTTTTTTTGCGGGGCAGACAAGGTCTCACTATGTAGTTGAGGCTGACCTGGAACTCACTATGTAGCCCAGGCTGGTCTCATCTTTCTTTTCTTTTTTCCTTTTTTTTTGGGGGGGGGGACAAGGTCTCACTATGTAGTTGAGGCTGACCTGCAACTCACTATGTAGCCCAGGCTGGTCTCAAACTCACAGCAATCCTCCTGCCTCAGCCTCCTGAGTGCTGGGATTACAGGCGTGCACCACCACACCTGGCTTCTTTTCTTTTTTAACAGTGGCTATCCCAATAGATGTGAAGTGGTATCTTGTAGTTTTTTGTTTGCTTGTCGTTATTTAGTGAGGTTTTACATTTATTAAACATAGGAAAAGAAGTGCACTCTGCAGAGTGAGTGCAGGTCACTGAGAAAGAGAAAATACAGAGCCCAATTGTTTATCTTGTTAGACAGGCTCTTGCTGTGTACCCCAGGCTGGCCTCAAACTTGCTATCCTGCCTCAACCTCCTGAGTGTTGGGATTATAGGTGAGCGCCAAGCTCTTGCTGTGTACCCCAGGCTGACCTCAAACTTGCTATCCTGCCTCAACCTCCTGAGTGTTGGGATTATAGGTGAGCGCCACCAAACCCAGCTCACTATAGATTTTATTTGCATTTTCCTATCGATGAGCGATGTTCAGTATCTTTCCTCTTACAAGCTGTCCATGTAACACCAGCGCAATTGTTGTCTAGCTAGGGGGACAGACCCCACCACCCTTCTGGAATATTCTCTATTTCAGCTGACTTTAAACCCCTATTTTCTCTGCCCTTGGTCACATCTTGTTTCCTAATATGATGGAATAGGACTTCTGCAAAAGTTAGAATTCACTGAATGGACTAAACAATAGCCTATGTTACATTAAACCACTCGGCAGTTTTTCACTTACTGAATAGCTTACGGTTTCATAAAGCTGACTGTGTTTGGCTAAAATGTGTCCACCACTAGGATATATCTAGAGACAATGCAAGCAGAATCGGATAAATGTGAACTATTAGAAAACACAATCATTTCCCCTTTCCTTTTCTCGAGTCGGAAAGTGTGTTGGACAGGTAATTCACTCAAGCGTTTTTGTTTTTTGTTTTTTCTTTTTTCTTTTTCAATCTGGTTCTCTCCATCTCTTGGAAATCTTAAATACCTTCCTCTATCAGTTAGTGCTCGATGACCAGAAAGACTTACCACACATCTGGGGTGAAAGTGTCATTCTGGAATCGCCAAGGGTGGGTTTCATAAATGGCTTCCCCACTGACTTTTAACCAGCTCCCCATCTGTCTTAACCGCTCCTCAAAAATTGCAGAAATGGTGCCATCCACTGTGGGCCCGATGTTCATCAAAAGATTTCCTCCGTATGCGACCGTTTCCACAAGTTGCTAACAATGTAAGAAAGGGTACAGTTCTTAAATAAAGGCCATCCCATTTTCTATGCACTGATACCACACGCCCTGTGCATGCGGGCCACTGGGCCAGCCAAACTATAAGACAACATTCCCCATGCTACCATGCTAAGAATACGACAGGAACAGCTTCCAGACACCTTACTGTACCTTCACCAGTTCTTCAATCGTGAGGTAATCCGTGATTCCCGCATCCCTCCTGTAGCCCCAGGAAAACTTGTCTATTGTCATGCAGTTTTCCCATTTGTGGGACAGGAGATGACCCGGATGATAGCGATCTGTGCATGTGTAGTAGCCGCCATGCTTACAGATGCAGCCGTCCCCCCAGCGATCATTGGTGACCACTGTGTCCCGAACTGGACTGAAATGAAAAGTATAATTCTCATTAAAGTTTCTTTTTTAACGCAGAAAGAAATGCCACTGAAAAAAGGTCCATCCGAACCCACTCCTGAAACAGGACCATAGCATCATACACGAAATGGGAAACCCACAGTTCTGAGGTCCAGCAGACCTGGGCTGATCCGAGGCCCAGCTCTCTCACTGCAGCTCCCAGACCTACGGCAGCTCTCCTAACCTGTCTAATAATGAATGTCCTCGTCATTACTGCCGTAAATGGAATTAGTGGAAAAGAGCACAGTGCTGCCAGCACGGATGCACTCACAGGAGTTTTGTCCACAACAGTCTCTTCTCCAAGAACTGTACAATCTCTTAAATATATTCTAGTCTTTCTCATTTTCATGTAATTGTGCCTAATATTAAAAAAATCTCAGAAAAATTGAGCATTGACACCATGTGAAATAGCCCCACAGCATTTTTTGCCATGACTAATTTTTTATCATGATAATTCAAGTAGAAGGAACAGAAATCCACTTCCAGGGGACAGTGGTGTATCTTGTTGTATTTTGTTTTGCTTTGCTTTGTTTTGTTTGTTGTACTGAGGATTGAACCCAGGGCCTTTGCACTGAGTTACATCCCTATCCCTTTTTATTTTAAAGCAGGTCTAAATTCTCCAGGCTGAGTTCAGATTTACAGTCCTCCTGCCCCCACCTCCCAGAGTGCTAGGACAAAAGGTATGTACCCCCACACCCAGGTCAGGGGGTGATTTTGGTAACAAACTAAAGTAGCTCTGAGTCTTTGCCCTTGGCAGGAATGCCTCAAGATCTCTGGATACTGTAAACAGTATCCAGAGTTCTCCACAAGCTGGGGATGGGGCTCAGTGGTACAGTGCTTACCAGGCATCCATGAGACCCTGGGTTCAATCCCCAGTACTCTCCACCCCCCTAAAAAGCTGAGTGTGATGCCACACCTGTAATCCCAGCTACTCAGAAGGCTGAAGCTGATCCTGTCTCAAAAATAAAAAGGGCTGGAATCTAGCTCAGTGAAAGAGTACCTGAGTTTGATCTTCAGCAGTGCCGGGGTGGGGTGGGGGGAGGCCCAGAAGAAAAAAAGAAAAACGAGTTCTCCAGAACATTTGTATCTGTGCCTTTGGTGGACCCAGAAAACGGCCTGACTTCATAGCACAATACCAAGTGCTTTCTACTTGTGAAGGTAAATATGGGCTGGGTCAGTCGAGCCTAATGGAGAAATACAAGGCAGTGCTCCCTGGTCTCACACCCTTGACCATGCCAAGAAGCAACAGGAAAGACGAGGAAGTGACGAGGATGTTGAGGCCAAAGGAGAAGAGGACACAGACAAAGTGCAATTATGGGAAAGTAAGACGATAGAAAGGAGGACTGAGAGCCGGGCCTGGTGGCGCACTTGGCTGAGGCAGGAGGATCACAGTGCATTCAAGGCCAGCCTGGGCTACATAGCGAGATACTGCCTCAAAATCACAACAGCACCAACAACAATTACAACAGGAGTGAGAAGAAATGCAAAGCATATCAGAAGCATGGATGCGCAGGCTAGAATAGAAGATGGGAAGAGGGACCCACAACATGATTACTGGGACTTTTAAGTTCTTGGTCTTGGGATTTTGTTTTTTTTAGTCTGATTTCAAAATCAGACTGGTTTGTAGTTGCCTCCCAATGTACTTACTCTTGATTGAGTAAATACTGATACAGCTAATAACATTATTCACAATGATTTCTGCCAGAGGGGATAAAGATACTGCTTTCCATAGAGTAGCTGTATACTTTATATACATGTTTATATAATATAAATATTTATAATCTCATGAATGAGCCTGGGAATTCAAATGTCATGAATATTTTAGGAGCACTTGAGGGGACTCCAGCATCTGAGAGCACACACACCTTTCATTATACAGCCAGGCTAAGAAGCCCGTGCTATTCCAGTAGGTATCCGGCGCCCCTCCATCCCCGTCGGACCACAGTACCTCGGGCCGGTATTTGTTCACTAACTCGTAGAGTTCTGGCAACATCTTAGCAGTTGGAAATGTTTGCTTCTGGAAGGAACTGGATTCATCCTCAAGAAATAGTGGATGAAACCATTCAAACTGGGAATAGTACAGTCCAAACTGCAGGTTGGTTCTGCTCCTAAGGGCCACCTCGAGTTCCCTGACAATGTCCCTCTTTGGCCCCTCGTCCACAGCATTCCAGTTCCAGGAGTACTTCGAGCCCCACAAGGTAAAGCCTGAAGGTGACAGGAGAACTCTTGTCAGCATCAGCAATCTTACTTCAATAAACTTCTACCAGCAAAAAATGTCAAAGCCAATCAGATCTGATCTATACATGACTACTTCTACAAATGACTGTTTTATGGCAATTTTTTTCATAGCATATATTCTGCTTTTAAAAGAGAAACAAATGAGAATTTAAACAGAATGAGATGGGGGGTTATAGGCAAATTTCATGTGCATAGTCTGCTCTATCTCTAATATGTTTTCTCTTAGACTTTGAGATCCCTGAGGGGTGAGTGTCATGTCCTTAGCATCCCCATTATATCCCAGCCAACTGCTAGCACAGGGTCTCACCCCAATATGCAACCAGCACATCACTGGTCAGGTAGGAACTTTCTACACATCTACTGAGCCAAACAGTGACCATGACTATTTATAAAGAAGACCCGAAGACACCCCTGCAACTTCTTATCCATCTTCTCAACCAAAGATTAGAGCATATTGCCTTGTTTTAGCATTATCTATTTTTATTTGGTGCGGGCAGAACACTAGTGGTCGTGTGTAGTAAATCTCTTGTAGCTTGATAATTCATTTAACCAGAAGGGAAAACATGCTTCTCCCAAGTAGTTCTGTACTTCAAAATACTCCCACCATTTATTATCTCATCCTATGCTAAAGTCACAAGTTTGGATGCTATTCTTTACCCCAAAGTGAAGAATCTACCAACTAAGTAAAAAAAAAAAAAATGCATACCATTATATGTGTGCTTTTAAATGATTCACATTTTAACAGAAAATTTCATCTAGATTGGTAATTGTTCTATATGAAAGTATTAGAAGAGATATATAAACAGAACTATTTAAGAAATAGTATAAAAGCCTCAAAATTTCAGCTAATTTCTGTTACTATCTACTAAAGTGCAAAAGAACCTTTGCACATAGTAATAAGATGCTTTGTACATGACTTTACTCTTATAATAAAGTAGGACAAGTCTAAGATAGACTCATTCTTTAGATTCATTATAAGGAGATTTTTGAATAGCTTGCACTCACTCCAAAGCTCTCTGTGGCATTTGGAGCAGGGTCAGAACTTAAGGTCTTATTTACAGTGCTCAGTTTGGCCTGCCCTACTATCAGGCAGGAAGCCGTGGTGTCAAGCAGTGGCCTTAGCTCAGGGGTGTGCAGCTCAGTGTCACTACTGCAAGTCACCCAGAGATCTTCCCCACGATCCAGCAATGCACATCCTACAAGCATCTGATAAAGTGCACCCTTGAAAACATACAGAGTGGGGACTAGAGCATCCTTACAATTTCATTGTGGTTCTTTTTTTTTTTCAAGAACTTGTTACACACAGTATGATTAAAAAGTGTTTAAATTTAAAAAAGGTAAAGAATTTATTATAGTAAAAGACACATTGCCATTAATCCTCCTCAGAGTACTCTTCAGACAGGTAGCACCCACACTCGGATTGGGGCAGCCTTCATCCCAAACTCACACATTCCGGGTCCAGCCAGCTATGCCCACATAGGGTTTGGAGGAGCATCGAGACACAAGCCATAACAGCCATGTAGGAGACGCGCACACACAAAATGGTGCACAACTATAGAAGCACAATTCACAGTGCCCTTGCACAATACATCAACATAAAGCAAAGAGCCAGGTATAGTAGTACACATCTGTGATCTCAGAACTTGGAGGCTGAAGCAGGAGGATCCCAAGAGTTCAAGGCCAGCATGGCCAGCCTGGGCTGCATAGCTAGACCCTTCTAAAATACAAAACAAAAAGATAAAGCAAAGAAGCTGAGAAGCTGGGTATGGTGGCACACTTCTGTAATCCCAGCACTCTCAGAGGCTGAGGCAGGAGGATTTTAAATTCCAGCAATTTAGTGACATAGGGAGAACTTGTCTCAAAAAGTAAAAGGGGTATAGCTAAATGGATACACATTGAGGTTGTACTCGTAAGTGAAATTAATAGGATACACATGTGTAAATACCGAATAGTTTCTCTGGGATGAAAAACTAAATATGTAAATAAGGTTCAAATGGTATAACTGGGAGTGTGAAATAGGAAGAAAATGACTAAAGGGGAAGAGGGATGAGGAGGGGAAAGGAAATAAGGAAAAAGAAAAAAATGTGAAAAAATGGAAACAGTCTTTGTAAATAGGGAAGGGTGAAGGGGGTGAAGGGAGGGCAGGGGTATGGGGGGAAAGTAAGAACCAAGATGTATCATGTAAAGGTACAAGATCCCAGTGATAAATGCAACTGTATTGTTTGTTTTAAATGTACCAATAAACGTAATGGGGAAAAATATGAAAATAAAAAGGGCCGGAGACATAGCCAGTATGAAGGCCCTGGGTTCAATACTGAGTACTGCAGAGAGGGGTAGGGGGAAGGAGAGGTGCCTTTCCAATAGTAAATTTTATACTGCAACACCCATCCCATTTCAAATAGCTTTAAGCAAGTCCTGGAAATATTATTAAATGTGCATATCGCTAACTTGACCACCTTTCCTCTTGTTTTGTGGCGTGTACAATCTGTCCATATCCCTAATGCCCCCCAATGTAGGCCGCACTTGAGGCCTTAAGTTGTAAACACATATCAGTCTCCACTTCCCGTTACTGCTAACAGAGAACTGACTTCGGTGCCCTGGTTTCTTCTTTGCATCTCCTGACCATTGTCATATCTGTCAGTGTGTTCTGTGCTTACCTTCATGATGTTTGGAAGTCAAGACGATATAACCGGCACCCGAGGCCTGAAAAATATCTGCCCACTGGCTGGCGTTAAAAAATTTTGCTGTAAAGAGTGGTCCAAAATCTTCATATTTAAAACCCGGAGGGTAATTATCTTTCATGAAGTTCACATATTTTGGTATCTTTTGGTTCTGCCAATACCACCTGTAGGAGGAGAGGACACAGCACACGAATGGCATGGGCACAAACCATTGAAATCATCTCCCCAATACCTCCCTCTCCATGAATGCTACCCGCATTCTCTGTCACTTCCCTGTCACTTTGACTTTGCCCTAAGGAAATCTTACATAAACCAAAATACCCCTCTTAATTTCCAGCTGTTCCTTGTGAAATCTTCTCTGCCATAAACTAAAACATTCTCGATAACCCATGCTCTTAATTCTTCACTCTTAAGTCACAGCATATAGTATGTGTCTTTACAGATCAGGTCACTCGGTAATGTAAGTGACTGAAGCTTCAAAAATAGAAGAGGCTATGCCTAAAACATAATTTACATCTACTATAGTCACTAGCAGAAAACACACTTTGGGAGGAGGGTAAAACTAGAAAGGGAAACAACAGCAAAATTAAGACGATTCTGTTATTTTAATAAATTCAGCCTTCAAGGATTACTTGATCCAGCACTCTGGGAGGCTGAAGCAGGAGGACTGCAAGTAGTGCGATGTGATCTCAATATTTACAAAAAGAAAAAGAGGAGGGGGCCCCGAGGCTCAGTGTGAATGTCTGGGGTTCAACCCCAGTACCACACACACTCACACACACACACACACACACACACACACACACTGGTTACTTCCATTTGCTCTGAGCACAATATTGAACTTAAACTGCTTCTGCAAGGCTTCACAAGCAAAGAACATCAAAAACATATCACGGGCCCAGGATTTAGTTCTGTGGTTCTGCCTCCTGCTTCACAAGCACAAGGTCCTGAGTTCAAGCCCCTGGTACCAAAAACAAAACAAACACATATCTCAGATAACCCAGCAGCGCCCACCCTCTGCCCCGGTCTCCACTCTGCCTCTCTCCTCTCCTCTCCTCCCCTACGTAGTTCCACAGGATAAGCAAACCCACAGTCAGCACGGCTCCCCCCGGATGACCGGGAGGCTTTTCTGGCTGCTAAGACCACCAAGGGCCGCGATCCACAGCCACCACTGTGCCGTGCCGGTCCTCAGTCACCTGTGTCTCACATCTTCGACACAGATGCAAGGCCCATACTGGCCCAGAGCCCTTGGCCCCTTCCTAAAGACAGCAGAAGCCGCCTGCCCACCTTTGGGCGAGGCTGATGGCTGGAGTTACAGTACCTGGCCACCATCATGTGACCGGAAGGGTCCAGTACACAGGAAGAGCCTGCATCTTTGACCAACTACTTTTATTTCTTTCTTTTTTTTTTTTATTTTTAAAATTTATTTTATTTTATTTTTTATTTTTTTGGTGTTTTGAGACTATGTAGTTGAGACTGACCTGGAACTCACTGTGTAGCCCAGGCTGGTCTTGAACTCACAGCGATCCTTCTACCTCAGCCTCCCGAGTGCTGGGATTACAGGTGTGCACCACCACGCCCTGCGGACCAACTACTTTTAAACTTTCCTTTGATGCTGGAGGTTGAACCCAGGGCCCTGGCCTCACTTTTACCTTTTGAAATTAAACTACAGTGATAGATAATACGAAACGTGGAGATAGATCCCTTGTAGATGGAAAGATGCACTACAGCTGAGGGAGATGGAGGAGGCAGAGGGCAGAGGAAGTAAAAAAAATTTTTTTAATTTGAAAATACTGACCTACAAAAGAGAAACTGACAGAAAGCCGAGCACGCGCGCGCGCACGCGCACACACACACACACACACACACACACACGACAAAAGCTAAAGTGCGTTATGCACACCCTTTTCAACCCCCTTAAAGCCCCCCTTTAATCTAGGGATGGTGGCTTGTAAGCTCGACACTGGGTGTACTGAAGCAGGGGATCACTGAGCCAGCCTGAACTCCATAAATGCTGTCTTCATAAAGGAGCAACAAAAGTCCTAAAAATTAAAGACCTTTTTTAAAAAATCCCAGGAGGCAGTCGCGCTAACACTGACATAAATGGCCAACGTGTAAACACTCAGCGATGGGGCCCCACATGTAGCCCTAGCTACTCAGGGGGTCCCTGGGTCCCCGAGTGAGAGGCCCAGGAGTTTGAGCCTGGGCACCATAAGGACACCGTTTCAAAAAAAGACAGAACAAAGCCCCACCAACGTGTGTGCAAATGCACAGCCGTTCCACACACCCGGATGTGCTCTCGCCAGTCTGCACGGCGGCACGGCTGCAGCCAGGGACAGAGCGACGAGGCCACACGGACTGGCCCTGTGGGGCTTCGGCTGCACGAGGGCCCGAGATCCGGGCGCCAATCGGGTCCCGAAGCGCTCCCAGGCTCCCCAAAGTACAACCAGCCCGCCCTCCAGCGCTCCCCCGCCGGCGCCGGACACGCGTCACTTTAATTTCCTGGTTTTTAATTGTATTCACTGTCTTTTCTGCAGGACAAATATTATGTATGATACATAACAACCCTAGGCTTCAGCATACAAGCTAAGGGTATAGCAGGAACCATTCTCTCTTTTATCCAAATCCATTTTTCTTTTTATGACTGCAGACAAAGACTTCATCTCCCAGGATCTCTTAGGTAGCTTTGCATGACAGAGCTCTCACCAATGGTGTTGGAAATGAATACTACTGCAAGGTCTTCTAAGAACCTGTATTCTTTGAATCCTTTTTCTCCTTCCTCAGGCTAGATATGCTTTACAGTAAAGCACTAGGGGATTGTGGAGGTGTGCTTTCTAAACAACCCCTAAGAGAATGCAGTGATTTTTCTGGTCATCAACAGGAAGGCATCAGTCGAGTCTTTGTGGTGCAGCCTAGACACCCAATGTAATAAATATGACTTTTGTCTTCCATTAGTTAAAGCACCATATCCAATGTCACAGCAATTCTGCACAGCAACTTTTCTTTCAAAACTAGACACCCCGAGGCCCGCCTGTGGGCCCCGGCCTCCCCGCGGGGAGGAGGAGGAGGAAGGGGCAGGGAGTCCCGTGACTTCACGACTCGGAGAAGCCGGAACCGCGTCCTCCCTCGGAGGCGGAGGCAGGGCCACCCCTCCCAGGCTGGAGCTCGGAGAGTAGCTTAGATCGTCGGCAGCCCTGGCTTTTGCCCCAGAGTTTCGGGGTGTCAGCACCCAGGCTCCCGACCCGGAATTCCTATCGGTGAAATCTCAAGAGTTGCAGGTCAGGGTATCATCTGCACGGCACGTCCGCCTTTCTGCCCAGGCCAGGGAGGCACCTCTTCTGAGGACTGCTGATGCTGCTGCTGCAGCCGAAAACCAGGTGATCCGAGGCAGGTGACCCGGGAGAAAGAGCTGTTAGGAAATCTGAGTGCGCGCCTGGGCAGAGGAGCAGAGAGGAAGGGCTCATGAAGGGCACCTCCAGAAGCTCACCTTTGCTGACTGAAACGCTTTCACCGCAAAGCCAGAATGGACCCCTTCTGCTCCTGCAAGCCGTTCTCCTTCCCTGGGTCACCTCCTCCCAGGACGTCTGTGTTGCCCCATAACATCTTCCAACCCTCAGCTAGGAGTCCATGCCCGGCTCTGGTTGAGCGGAGGCGGAGCCGATTTCCCTGGAGGCTACACGATTCTTACCCGCAGCCACCAACACCTTGACTGCAGCCGCCCCTGCAGGTGCAGCCAACAGCACGCCAGACATCTTCACTGGAGTTCCAGCAAGTGTCTGTGTGGGACACAGGACTCTGGACAGCCGGTCTCAATAGCCGGGTTTGAGCTAAGGCAAGGTGACAATTCTCATCCTCCAGGCTTGGAGACTGAGGCTGACCTGAGGCCTCCGGGGCCACCAAATGCCAGGAACATTTAACACAAAATGGGTTTCTCATCCCTCCCTAATCACAGGTTTGCGTAGCGACTGCAAAAGACATTTCACATCGTAGTGATGTGGAGAACGGTGGTGGAAGGGGACCGACGCTGACAGTGTGGCGGGGGGGGAGGGGGCTGTCTTCTCTTCCATGTCATTTCCCAAGTGAATTCCAAGCAGCAAACGATTCTACCTTCTAAGCGATTATTTTATCGTGCAACAAATTATTTACATTTCCATGTATTTCAGGTTAAAAGCCTTAAGCGCTTCGCCTCTTGGAGATGAGGATATTATTTAGTTGGTAAGTACAACCTTACACCAGGTGTGGTGGTGGCATGTGTCAATCATCCTAGCACTCGGAGGCTGAGGCAGGAAGAATGCCACAAGTTCGAGGTTGGCCTGGGTTACATAGTGAGTTCAAAGCCAGCCTGAACTACATAGTGAGACCCTGTCTCAAAAATAAATAAATAAATAAATAAAAGTACAACTATATCATAAAAGTATAGTTTGTAGGAAATACTGAATCAAACACCTCCCTAATGTCCTAGGGAATGCATACAAATCCTAGACTGAGAACCAGTGACAGAATTTGGAAGGAATCGTGTAGTATTATTTGGAAATAAAGAGAAAGAAGAGATTCTGTGGGAGAAAAAAACAATATGTGTTAAATGGCAGAAAGAAGTTGGGATGGTGGTTCATGCCTGTAAACTGCATTCTAGGAGGCTGAGGCAGGAGGATCAACAGTTCATGCCTGGCCTGGACAGTTTAGTGACTTAACAAGATCCTATCTATCTCAAAATAAAAAGAGCTGGGAACGTAGCTCAGTTTGAAGGCCCTGGGTAAAATTTCCAGTACCACCACCACAAGAAGAAAAAAGAAAGAATGAATGAAAAGAAGGAAGGAAAAGAAAAGGAAGAGGAAGGAAGGAAGCTGTGGGATATTCTGTGACGTGGCCACTGACAAGCCGTGGATGTTACCTCATGTGCTGCGGCTTTGCTAAGCTGGTCTTTGCACGGAAAGCTAATCCAGGGTGAATAGTAGAACCACGGCCCATTCAGGCTCGATCTCTGGATTTGAAGATTTTGATAGACCCAGAAATCTGAGAGAAACAGGAGGTTGTCAAGGAGCACAGGGCTCCTGTTCGAGTCTTTCAGAGAGCCTGGAGTCACCAAGGAGATCACGTCAACGAGCCCTGATCCAATGGTATTTGATTTCAGACTGACTGGAAGGACCGAGGACAATCACACTCCAGAGCCCATAACCTGGAGTCAGTCAGAGCATGCTGGGTTT